TTCGGGACATTACACAATCGAAGCCTGCCCCATCTCGCAATACGACGCGCATCTCCGAGCTATCCTTGACCTACCCATCTCGCAATCTAGCCTGCGCCTCCGCGAGCCCTCCATCATGCTGAACATCCTTGGCGGCAAGACACCAGACTCCCACGTTCAAGTCGCGAAGAGGGCTCTTGAGTCACCAAACGCATCCATTCACCTCTACGGAAAAGGCGATGCGCGTCCCGGCCGCAAGATGGGCCACATCACCATCACAGCCCCCACACTCGCAGCCGCAGAACGCGAGATCCAGCCCCTCGTCGACTTTGTGGACGCCCAAAAAGGCAAGAGCGTCGAAACACGCAGCTCAGAAAGCTCCAAAGAAGAGCCTCTCGTTGCCGTAATCATGGGCTCAGACTCCGATCTCCCCGTTCTCCGCGCCGGCCTAGAGACCCTCACTAAGCTGCAAATACCCTTCACCACGCGCATCACCAGCGCCCACCGCACCCCCGACTGGCTCCGCGAGTTCTCCAAGACCGCTTCTCAGACGTCTCTGAAAGTCATCATTGGCGCTGCGGGTGGTGCCGCCCATCTACCCGGCATGTGTGCGTCGTGGACCACACTTCCTGTCATCGGTCTCCCTGTCAAGGCGAGTGTGATGGATGGCTGGGACAGTCTTGTTAGCATGACTCAGATGCCCCGTGGCGAGCCTGTTGCTACTGTTGGTATCAACAACTCGACTAATGCTGCGCTGCTTGCTGTGCGCATCCTTGGTGCGGAGGATAAGACGATCCGCGAGAGGTTGAGGGTTTGGATGGAGGGCAATGAGAAGGAGGTTATGCGTAAGGATAAGGCGCTTTTGGAGGATGGATGGGAGGCTTATCTTAAGGGTATGGGGAAATAGATGGTGATGGGTAGGTGGTGGACTGAGGGCTTGAGGGAGCATGTGCTGTGTTTGTGGACACTGAGTGGTGGGATACGCAGGGAGTAGAACACCTCTTTCTGGTCGAGGAAATGTCATTACCCTCTACCAATGCCCTGAATGCAATGAACATGCGATATTACGGAAGTCGTTTCATATCGAAGCTCATTACGATGACGATCACCATCATCACACTTCATTCCAAGCTCAACAACGACCGCCTCTCGACCAAAACATGAGAGCATCCCTGACTCGTTTTGGTACCATGCGCTCCCCGCTGGCTCTGTTGTAATAACATGACCAGTTCCAACATGCTCTCCTCACACGAAGACATTTCCTCATCCGCTGTGCCATTTGAACACATCAGAAACATCTGCATGTCTTTTAGAACACACCGCGAGCCCACAGTCATGGGCACAGGAGACGCCATTTTTGTAGAATGACTCTGGAATATGTGGATAAGAGAAGAAAGAAGAGGAAGAAGCGCAGATTTTATGGCTGAGGCGAGGGGAGTGACAACACATCGATTTGCGGATCTATTCTTTTGCACAGCTTCTTGTCTTCTCCACATGACAGTTCTGTCTCTGCTATTCCGAGAGTAGCTTTTCAAAGAGCAGAGTCGAGAGGAGAACGACATGCCATGTTGAGGAATCACTTTCAGAGTACAAAGCTTCGGTATGTTGCCTGGTTAGACATAATATGTTCGCTAGAAGTCTTTGGAAGTAGGATGAGACACATGAATAACCTGTGGATATCCAAGGTGCGAAAAGTCGAGGAGAAGAGAAGACCCATAAAGCAAGACAAATATACTTTTGGAGAAAGAAGAGAGAACTGTAGTGTGTAGGAAGAGAGAAGGAAGAAGGCAGAGAGGTAGCTTTATATGCGTCCAGAGTCATCCGGAGGGCGCACCCATCGTGGGGAACCGACATGTTTTGAACGAGGAAGCACAGTCTTTCCATGTTCTGCTGCTTCAGCACTTTTTGAATGCCGCCAAACATGTTTAAAATCGGTACATGAGGTTTCTAATTCCGTGGCTAGAGAAGCGCGGAGACAACAGGCGCATATGCTGGTAGTCGATGCTTTTGAAAAAGGGAAGACGCGGACATAGAACATCCGTAATGTCGTTTTGAAGAATCGTGCAAAGTTTGACATGATAGAAGGAAGAGAGATATAACCGTCCGGAGACATTTTAATACTCATCTCCCGAGGCGGACGGATACATGTCGTACTTTCGTAGGCTTTTTAAGTCGCGTTTCTTGCTCCCATTCGTCAACATCTCCATCATCAGTCATCGTCGATTCTTTGGATGTTTTACAGCCTCGAGTTTCGAGCAAAACGCGGCATGTTTTGTATCGAGTCAACTTTTCTTTTCGAGAGGCTTAGAAGGAGGGATTTCGCATGAACCGATGAGCAGTACGATTTTTGTGACACAATCACATGTAATGATATATTGGCCGTTTTAAAAATAGGAGGAGAAGGAAGACAGCAAACTCGCATAGATCATTGGCAACGTCATTTTGGAAAAATGCTGGAGGAAGGTGCTGAGTAGGAAGTAAGACAAAGTGGAGAAGTGGCAGTTTATATACCTCCATTGAAAGCACTGCACAGACGTCTGTGGAGAGCGAGTCTCGCTTTTATACCCCTCATCGATTTTTGACGTTGGGTTTTCAAAGACTTTCTGGTGAGACTGATGATGTGCGATGTGCGAGCTTTGAAAACGTCAATTCCAAGTGTTGAACCTTCGAGGACTCAAAGGTCAGTGTAGATAGTCCGGTCTTCCAGACAGCCCTCCATGGCGTTTACCCTCCTCTTAACAGCCATACTATATCGAGATCATAGCTTCCTCTATACTCGCAAATGTTTCGTTCCATCCGGAGTCGCCAGTCCAGTTCTCTCACCCGTTCCTCCGCTATTCCGCGCACGTATGTCCGCACGATCTCGAGTCGCTTTAAGCCAAGGAGCCCACTGAACCAAGTCCCTTTTCCGCCTGAAGGGGCACTTACTAAAGCATCCATCTCATAATCGCGTAGCTGAATTGTTCGAACTGCCAGCATTTGTACGGATGTGCGAAACATATACGCTTCGGGATGCACCATTGAGCCCTTTAATACAAAGGTGTTGAGTTGGTACACTAACGTAGCTGTCTCGTTGTAGATCTGGCGGCAGGTCTCGGGGAGGTGTAGCGCTGATTTGAGTGGCATGTAGCTTGTTCGTTCCTTGGGGTCCGCGTAGGTGTATGCCCATCCATGTGATCCAGGAAATTCGGGCGAGGAGTTGGCGCGCAAGTGCAGGGCGATGTAGGGATTGCTTAACGTGTACTGTGGAGATAGAGAGGCGATGTCAGAGAATATCACAGACAGATTGTGTGTATCCAGGTCTTACCTCCCATATCTGGTTCCGGAGTTCGCCGGGGAGTTGTAAAAGGCGAGAGGTTGTCGCATTGCGAGCCGCACTATTTGCGTCAGTAATGTGGCAAAGCTTAGACGGGAGAGATACCGACATTGCGGTGATGTGTTCAGACATGTGAGATACGTCCAAGAGCCCATTTGGTAAGATCACTGCCACGTTGCTATTGTTTTGCTGCTGCGACATTGACGCAGAATTATCGGGTTCTGGAGTATGTTTCATGTTGAAGCGTTGGAGCGCGATAGAGGTTGATTGCAGTTATGTCGATAGAGCTATGTGATAGAGTGGATAAGCTGAGCGGTACACAAAACTTGATTTGGTAGGAGGGCGCTTATTTCGCCTGCCTGTCTGGTCTGTGCGCTATCGGTGCTTGGGGTGACTGTTTCTCTTTCATTGAAATGCTCCAGTAGTGACTCTTGCTCGATCCTGTATTCATTACATTGTAGCTACCATGTGCCCATGACAGAGCCTCTTCTTCCAGGCCCTGTGAAATTGTGGCCTTCGGAGCCTCATGTGACGTTAAGAATTGACGTAGCGAGCTCGAGTACCGAAGCTCATAAGCATAGCTATCATTTGCAGCTATCGCAAGCGCCAGCTGCTCCATAGATCATTTCCAACTGAAAGTCAGCCAAGGTCGGCCCTCTCGCTCCCGTATCCGCTGTTCCAGTAGCCTACGGTAAAACTCGGCTCCTTTCATTGTGCGGGTTTCCTCGTCCTCTGGATCAAGGTGGTCGAAATCGTGCAAGCCGTCCGCAGTGCGGGGAGCGAGTTCCAGGTGTACCAGACGTGGGAACGATTCAGTGAGATAACCACTTTTAGAATGGGGTACTTGATTGAAGATTCGACCATCGATGGAGGTTCGATATCTTAATCTGAAGTGCCACAAGCCTGCGTTGGATATACGGAGGGATTGAATGTTTCGTAGATACGCGTGATCGGAGACCCATCGAGCCTGGTAAAATTGAGGAATCTTGAAAGTTGCTAGGGCGAAGATCAGCAACCGGGTCTCCGCGTGGATCTGCCTCGAGGTCGCTGGTAAGCGGAGGGCAACATCTTTTGCGGGGGTGCCATCATCGTTCATCGGGATCCCATGGTGCTTGGAATGTGCTCCGCTCCAGCGAATGCGATATCTGATTTTTACATAGGCGCAACTCATGGAGTATTCCCAGATCTGGTTTCGGAGTTCGGCCGGTAAACGTAGGAGAGGTGAAACAGATGCGTTGCGTTGTGAGCTAATTAGTTAGCAATGCCTGACTGCAGTGAGCTGACATCTTACATGGCTAGCTTGTCTTCCGGCACAGGCGCCGGGATAGTCTCTTCATATCCTTGATGCAAAGAAGAAGATTGGTTCTCTGACCGCATGCGCACCAGGTTTTCGTTAGCCGCCTGCATTGTCATTCCGTGGCTTTGTGTTCGCGAGCAGTTAGGTGGCCTTGACGCGTCGTTGCCGCGTAGTGTGGAAGTTGCGATCTCGCGATAGTGTGGAGGTAGAGCTCTAGCAGGCGTTTTTCGTCGAGCTTTTGAGAGTTTTGGTATATCAGTTGAGTGGAATGAAGAAATCGGCAAGCTTAGATCATGTGCTAGCTCCAGAGGTGTACTTTGGTTGAGATTTCCGAATTTTTGCCGGAAACCAACTGAAACCAAGGCTTACAATCAAGACGCTCCAGGGTGGGTACATCGGTCTGATACTCTAGGTGTCTTCCGTGGGAGTCTTCTCTTTATCATGAGCTTCCTTAGGCCTCGCCTCAGTATCTTTCTCTCCCTCCGCGTCGTCATCACTCTCCCTCATATAAACCACCATCCCATTCAGCGCATTCCCATGCTTTTCAAACTCTTTTAGCGCCACCTTTTCCCGGCCTTTTATCCACTTCTTGCCCACCTCATTGCACTCCTCTAGCCGCTCTTTCTTCTCCTTCGTTTGCGCATACACACTGTAGTCGTCCAGAATTTCGTTGCCTACGTACAGCACCGGGTCTTTCAATTTGAGGAAAGTTGGTAGAAGAAGGAACCAATCCACGAATGGCGAGTAGACGAAGGATTCGGACGTAATGTGGGTCTGAAGATCGGAGTCAAGGACCGTGATTGAGAAGTACGATAGAAATTCGATGTCGAGGGTTGTGAATGCTGGGTCTTGGGCGAAACATTGTATCTTGGTGTCCTTGATTTCGTCTTTGACTGCGTGGAGATTAGTTATCTTGGGCGGATGCAAAGGGTGGAATATCAATGACATACGCCGGTTGACTACATCGACAAACAGTACAAGCTGCCAGAGACTCCTCCACCGATGCGCCCAGTCTCGACTGAAACTGCCGATGCCAATGCATACCGCTTCTTCAACACCCCATTTGCCATCAGCGCTTCTCTTCTCCACAATCTCTTTGACTTGCTTCGCAAGCAGCGTATCTTCCCACCGCTCTTGAAGGAGGCGAAAATCGTTCAACAACTTCTCCGCCGTTAGTCCCTCCACAATCCTCGTAGGCAAGGACCCAGCATCTGCCTCCTTCTTCCCATTCCCATCAAGAGAAATACTCGCCAAGCCATGGGTGATGACGGTCCACCCGTCATCACTCTGCACCTCCTTCCTCTTAACGCGACCTCTTCCTTTCTTACTCATATCTCCCCACTACACACCTTTCTTTACTCGGTCTTGGCAAAAAGGAATTCAAGCGCATACTCCCTTCACCACAAGCGCACCTCAAACCCACAATGACGCACACTGCACAAAAAAGGTATACCGATCGTCGCGTCGTCGACTTAAGGTGCGGCTTGCATGGGCGCGTAAGTAAGGCGTGGCCAAAGTATCGAGGGCGAGGCGATGACGGGAAGGGACCACCTGGGCGCGTAGAAAATCATCGTGAGAGGCCAGGGTCTGATTGGGTTTTAGTGGGGAAAGGGAGGCTCGGAACGGGATTTCCGAGGCGGAATGCCGGCGACCTTGGCTGTAGCCCGCCAAACCACAGTAAAGATTGTGTGGGAACTGTGCCTCTCCTGATTAGGGGTCTGCTATCTGGCCTGCAGCTGTAGTTCAAGCCATCCGTTCATGTCCGGGTTGCGCATGCGGATCAGGCCTCCTGCTGACGGCTTAGATACACAAGCTATTTTTTGTTGCAGTCGGTATAAGCATGACAGCATATAGCTTACAAGTGAGCGACGAGTGGAAACGCAAGTGTTGGGATTATGGATGGTATTGTATATGTAGCTTCTGTACATCATACCGCACAGTAACGTGTTATGTGCCCCTAAGAAAGACCGTCATAGCTGCTGAACAGCTGGTCCACCAACCACCCAGATCAAACCACCGCGTACGCTCCAAATCGAGATCGTCGCTTCAAAAGAGACCGGATATCTTTCGCGCCAAAACTCCTTGCCCGTAAAAAGACTATATTCGCAGATAAAAGTCAGGTTCGTACACTAGACAACCCATGTAATCCACGACGCTGCTGCAAGCATTGCCGGCACTATGATTGATGCATAGGTGTTGACGACCATGTTGTGTGGCGCTGGCGATGATGTTGTCGAGTATACGATTTGGAAGCCAATGTGGTCGTCGACGTTTGTTGTGTTAACGCAGTTTGAGCTGTTGACTTCGGGAACATCCTCTGGTTCGGCGAAAGTGATGTCGGCACACTATTGGAATCTATTAGCAACTATGCGGCTGTCATGTTCAGGCGCTTGCACTCACGTTGTAAAGAGCAGCGCCGTGTTGCGCAAGCTCAATAATCTGGATAGTCGCATTGTCTCCAACCTGGGGTGTGTAGTTGGCAGGTAATGGGACTTGCGGTAGACAGAAGGAACCGGGGTATTCTTGGTTTGTAGGCCCTGTAATCTGGAAGACTGGGACCATCGTGTGCGAGTAGTTTAGCGGTTCGTTGCCGTAACCCATGTTGACGTAGAACATGGCGAGCGAGTGGCCTGGGAACCATCCGGGTTGGATTGCGACGGCGCCACCGTTAACCGGCCACTTTGTGCGATTTTGCGACATTGGCATGCCACCACCTAGAAGTTCATGTTAGTTATCTTCTCCTGCGCGGAATACCCAATCGGGAAAACGTACATGGGTACATCCATTGCATGCCGTATGGAAATCCATATGTGCCGGTGTCTTCGTGGTAGTTGATACCAATCGAGCCATCAGGGATCGATGGGTCTGTGTCAGACTTGGTCCCGTTGGTGTGGATGTTGTTTCCTCTCCATCCTGGGTAGACGATAACGGTATGTGCAGTAGCGAGCGACCAGGTAGCGGCGATAAAAACGAGCTCGGTAAAACGAAACATTTTGGCGGTGCGATGTGGAAAGCAAAGACTGTTGCGAAGCGGAAATCCTTGTCTTTATTGATTCAGTGACCCGTCAGCTTTGGGGTACACGATTTGATGGTAGTCGACGCAGAACGGGCAGCGTGCGGTGGCGGGGGGCATCAGCACTTATGGAGTACGGACTTGGCCTCGAGGGCCTCGTGCAACCATGGCATTGCTCGCCAAAGAGACGCTTCAGGCGAATGAACAGAGCGAAACGGGCCCGCCAGCATGGCCAGCCTTTGCATGTCAGCCCTCGAAGCATTGAGTAGGCAGCGAATAGGCATGTCGCTAGCATATTGAATCTACAGGGGCCAGCGACCACTGAGCTTCGCGTATGCAGGTCTTGTCGGGCGGGAGGGAAAAGCCTCTGTCGGCGGAGCGAATAGCGTCCGAGGTGGCCATGCGCATGGCGCCTCTGATTTGCAGAGGCGTGTGATGACTTTGCAGAGTCTCGGCAGTCCGGCCAGGCACCTCTAAGCGCCCAACTACTCCAGAGTCCACATGCCCACCAGCAGACAGCGAGGAAGGTTTCCGGATCTGAAAAATGCCCTCATCCGCGCGACTCGGCCGTGATAGTGTGACCAAGGCGTGATGCAGAATCTTGAAACGCCGCAGCTACACCGCGTAGGCGACGTCTGTGTTCGTGGGAGAAGAATGCTGAAAGACGCAGACAATCGCGCGCACAGTCAGCTAGCCGCCACTGGCCCCAAACGAACGGCGATCAACGCCCTCGCCGCAATATAATACCCAGCCGTCAACATGCGCATGTTTCTATCCTCATATCGCTGCATGAGGGCTGCAGTGCGATAGCTGGGGAAGGCCGAGTGTCGAGGATGCTGATTGGGAGCTTGTTTCGCCGCCCCTGGTCGCTTGGTAGTGTCCACTGCGCCGGGACGAACGAAGCCTCCATTCGCAATAACCAATTGCTTGAAAAGGCATTCCTTCTGGGCCGCGTCGTGCCGAGCGCACCAGCACACCATCCGCGCAGTGCCATCTTTCCTGCGGTTCGCTGCTAGTGCCTGTCTGTACGGCGCGAGGTACCGCATTCGTACTCCCCTTGCTTGAGGCAAAGGAACATCGTTGCGCACTGGGGTTAGCAGCGAACAAGCATCGCTTTAGCCAAGCGCCATAAGATTGTAGATCGTGTTAGACGCAGGGAGCACGGGTTCGTTGATTCTGGCGTCCGGGATAACGGTTGCGTGAGGTACCCGTGGACGACCGCTGTTGATGCTGCCAGGTGTGGTGCCATGAGCGCCTTCCTCGAGCACGGAGAAACCATGGCCACCTTCCCGCGATGAGGCTTCTTGCCCCGTCACTCAGATCATGCCTTCCAACATCGCAGGTGTAAACAGTGTCCACCTTACAGGTCCTTTCTGGCTCTGCTTGTCACCAACCGTCCTGCATCGATATTCTTCGATGTCCGCGGCGTTCATCGAACATTATTACTCAGTTCGATCTTAACTTAGGTCAAAACCCGACACCCGAGCTACTGACATGTTGTCGCTCGTCCCAGCGCGGAAGAGAAAGGAAGCCCATAACGCGATACAACTGTCTCGTGATAAAGGCAAGGTTCGCGTCATTGAGCGATCAGCAGAAGGATACTCCAGCGGCTCCACGAAGAACCTACAGGGGCGCAACACCACCCCTGCTAGCCGTACCTTTACCACACTCCGTCGCGGAAGCATCAGGATCTTCTCAATCTTCCGCAATGGCAAGAGTTGTCACCCATATCTGCCCTGTACCTCATGGCTTCCACTAATAGTACTAACAGGTTCCGCTCCAAGCTCCGGCGAGGCTACCTTTGGTAGCACTGGGTCAACGGTCAACAAACCAGCAGACGTACCACGTGCCGATAACATCAATTCCTACTCCAACTCTCCTCTACAATGCCCTGTCGTTCCCGATATACCTATGATTCTACCAGCTCTCTCCCTAGATCCTGACTCTTCGTCTTTACTCCAACTCACAAACGCTGCCGTCTTCGATGGCGAATCAGAACCTATACCAAGAACTCGCACTCCACCTCCTACGCCCATGGCAACAAGCTGGTCGACACCAAGTCTCTCACAGCAACTCACCACCAAGCTCTCCAACGCCCTGATGAACAATGATACGGTAGTGCGCCGACGCAAGCTGAGCTCTAGGCCAATCGTTCGAACGGACCATTTCAAGCATCCAAGTGATGACCAGCGAACTACCACCTCGCCCAAAAGCCCCATGTCAGAGGTCCCTTCTCTTCCATCGAGTGTCCTGAGCCCCTCAAGCAGCGTCGCACCGCTGAGTCAGTCGACTGCACCGACATCGCTGGTTTCATCAGGTGCGCTGCTGTCTGCTGAGACCACCTATCGAACCCAAAACGGTCGCCATGTAACCGACAATCAACCCGCGCTCTATTGCGAGGCGACCCCAGAGCGTTTACCTTCACGATTTCTTGTCTTCCCACGTCAAGACGCACCGCGACTGTGTGAACCTTCCATTGCGACCATTGAGAACGCAGCAGCGGCGAAGATCTTCTTCGAGTCACACTTCAACCAGCTTCTCGGTACCAAGGTCACGCCACGATCCATGCGTCGCCGCCAAATGGAGCGGAAAGTATTTACCATGGCCATACCGAATGAGCAACGTCACTCCAAAAGGCGAGAATAGTATCTTGCAGAGACACATCATCTGCGTCAAACCCGTGTCATGAAGTCGAATACCCTAGCGCGTCAGACAATGAAAGGAGTGCACATTTCCAATTACGACATCGTAAGAGTTCTCGGGAAAGGTAGCTTTGGTGTTGTCCGTCTCGTTCGCGAGAAGAGCGACAATTGCGGAAGTCTACGGGGAAGCAGCTGCAGTATGGGATATCTCGATGGCTCATTGACGCCAAAAACTGATAGGCCTTCCCCGACAATCCGCAGACAAAAGCAAGTCTTCGCCATGAAGGTCATCAGAAAGTCGGATATGCTTCGCAATAGCCAAGAGGGACATTTGCGAGCAGAGAGAGACTTTCTAGTCGCGTCGGAGAATGCGCGATGGGTAGTTCCCCTCATTTCTGCTTTCCAGGACAACAACAACCTCTATCTCGTCATGGAATACATGATGGGCGGCGACTTCCTAGGTTTACTTCTTCGTGAAGACATCCTCGATGAGAACGTTGCAAAATGGTATCTTGCGGAGATGATATTGTGCATCGAGGAGGCACACAAGATGTACTGGATCCATCGCGATGTCAAGCCCGACAACTTCCTCATCACTTCGTCTGGTCATCTCAAGATCTCGGACTTTGGCCTAGCCTTTGATGGGCACTGGGCTCACAACCAGACGTACTACAATGAGCAACGATACGGTCTACTCCGCGACTTGGATCTACATGTCAAAGGCGACGCACAAGACGTTGAAGAAGACAAGGATCGATCTGACGCTCGCAAAACCATGAATCTCATCAATGGGAGCGCAGCGGCCCGCGGCCGTTACCATACCAGACAAGACTCAACGCATGGACCTATCATCGACTGGTTGAACCGAGAGCAGAGGCGTGAATTCGCCAAGAGTGTTGTTGGGACGAGCCAATATATGGCACCAGAGGTCATACGAGGCGAAAGCTACGACGGTCGCTGTGACTGGTGGAGCATTGGCATCATACTATACGAGGTATGTGGCCACGAAAGGTTGTACGTGTTTTCACTGACGATTTCGTAGTGCCTTTACGGTTGCACGCCCTTCTTCTGCGACAACCGTCAAGCTACAAAGATGCGCATACTCGTAAGTTTAGTCATCGTACGCCGCGTTCTGGTGCTGACTCGTACAGGATCATAGGAGGTGGCTGCGATTCCCATCTGACCAGCGTTATGCTCGTCCCAACATCGACCGCGTACCACTCATGCCAGTCTCACGCAACGCAATCGACCTCATGATGCGACTGCTCGAGGACAGACAAGACCGACTCTCAGCTAAGCGATACCGTGAGAACGACTGGGCCCTCCGCGACAAAGCTGCTGGTGCGCGCCGCAATCGTAACGTCAACACCACCGGTCACATTGTTTACCCCAACGATGCCGAAGACATCAAGTCGCACCCGTTCTTCCGCAACATTCAGTGGTCACAACTGCATCTGACTCGTCCACCATTCGTACCACGCGTTCACGGCGGTCAGCCAATCACCAAATACTTCGACGATGAGGCCGAGATCATGAGCGCGTCTGATCATCTCGACTCTTCGAGCTACGAAGCTCTCGGAGGGCTGGCAGACCCTGCAGTAGAAGGACAAGTTGGTGGGGATGATGCTACATCCCCGGTCCAGCCGACTGCCCAGCATGATGGTGCAGCAACGCCAGCTCAAGAAGGGTTTGCCAAGTCATTGCGTGACATGAAGAGACGCAAAAGGGAGAAGAAACGACCGCGTGACAAGCTTCTTCGAGATCCAGATGTCAGTCAAACTGTTCTGGAAATCAGGAAGAAGGGTGCTTTCGTAGGCTACACCTATCGCAGGCCTAGGTTCTCTTTGCTAGACTTGGAGGACAAGATCGCTGCAAGACCTCACATCACACGTGGTGGGATAGTTGCTGCGAGTGCTTAGTGCTGTAGGTTCTTTTATGTTCTCTGGGGTGTAGGGTTTCTTCGAAATGAATTATTAAGTTCTTGAGTTCATCGGGATGCGCATGGTCCTGTACTTGCTGCTCGATTATCACTAGAACATGTAATCTCTCTCACCTTGACTACTATCTCAATCGCTTACCTTAGTGGCCAGCATCGTATTACAGATGCCACTAGCGTCATCTGGAGCACAGGTGAGATATATATCATAACGGTCTTTCTCAGTGACAAACCTTCCTACACCACACTTTCCGTCTCAACCTCTCCATACTACCATTATCATCAATCAAAAACGATACCTCTCTTTAAGATGATGCTCACCAGAGCCATTCTGCTATGCCTTACCGCGCTCACCAGCATGGCCGTCGGCACAGTCCCCGCAAGAGACTCCAATGACCCGATGCCAGTCTTTCTCAGCCACAAAGACAAGCCCATACCCGTCGATAAGCCCACTCTCAACCCTCCAGTTTTGGACATAAGCGAGTACCTGGTCAAACAGCTCAAGCACTAGACAGTAAACGTGGTCAAAATGTGGAACGACAGCAAGATCAACTACGCGTGCAAGAAGATCTTCACCAAGGAAGGCTACAAAGTCGAGGACATTGAGATGTTCGAGGTTGAGTACGAAGATGTGAGTTTGAACTGATGTCTGCTGTTGTTAAATGACGGTGTGCTAATGAGTCGGTAGTGCTATGAGAAACCATGGGTCATGTGTCGCCACAAAGACGCTTGGTACCAACCCGACCTCATGAACTTCTACATCGGCCTGATTCCCGTTAATATGCGACGCTTCAACCGCCACTTCATCGCGCTGCCAGCTGATGACAAAGGTGGTCGAGATATTTACAACGACTACGACACTATAGTCTGGAAAGGACAAGCCAGCCTACACAATATCATCGCCGAGTCCGCAAGGTCAATGGGCCAGTACGTAGGCGGAGGCTTTGGCATCTGGAGTAAGTCACCTCGCACTCCCCATCACCCCTCTTTTTGCCGCTGCTAACCATGTCTCACTCCCTCTAGGTTCCGGTACTCTCATGTGGTCCGATCAGACGTGGTCTGACCTCGTCGAAAACAACGCGACCGCGGTGATGAACCCTACGTCTCAGATTTCTCTCGAAGAGGCATTTGCTCAGACTATGGTGCTTGCCCTCGCGGAGTTTTCGGGCATACCTTTGGCTTCTTTCATCCCCGAGTATGAGAAGATTCGGCAGGTGGTCTTCACTTTGTGGGAGAGCTTCATGTGGGTCTTGACTGCTAATGACCAGGTATTTTGTCAGGAGAGGATCTTGGAGGATAGTCCGGCGGGTTTGCCAAACCAGCTTCCTGACATTAAGGTCTAGGTTGGCATACCTGATGGATCTGGTGGTATCTAGGGAATGATTGAGTCGGCTTCACAAATGGGTCAAGTCAAGGGTGGGCTTGGAAGCAAATCGGGTTCTTCGTGTCTTTGGTGGAGGTATGAACACCTATCCAAAATACACCCAATCAAAATTAAAAACTATCCCGTCTCCCTCTCTTCCACCACCTCCTCCCATCCATCCCACCAGCCCCACGTCCAGTATTTCTCCACATATTCTTCAGAGACCGGCCGTATATCGCCCACAACACACTGGCTATTACACAAATCGCGATAACGCCCGTAGAAACACCCAGGCCGATTGACGCTGGTACGCTTAGACCGCGATCAGGCTCCGCTGTAATGGAGGGTAGTGCGGTGGACGAAGAGAGAGCTGCATCAGACGAAGACGAAAAGAGAGTTGTTTGTGGACTGGAAGATGGGTCTGGAGGGGGCGTTGTAACAGTAGATGTAGTGGGAATCACTGAAGATGACTTGTCATCTCCAGTCTCAGTAGTTGAGGTAGTCGTTCCGGCGTCAGTCGTCGAGGGTACTATAGTGACAGGATCCGGTCTCGTGACTATGGGAAAAGTCTCCAAATCAGTTGGGGTTGTGGGTGTCGCATCTACGGTAGTCACGATAGTTGGTGCGTCCATGGTAGTCACGATAGTAGTTGCGGGGCCCATCGATATGATTATCGGAGGGTCGCCACCGGTTTTCGTGGATGCCGACATTGTCACTAACGTTGCTTGTCGGTGTTGTGATGGGCCTGGGTAGTCTCGTGGCTATGTGAGGGGGTATGAGGGGGGTGAAATGCGGTGACATGGTGGAGGATTGCGGGAGAGTAGCAGCGACAGAGTACCTAGATTGTTAGGTGCTTGCTTGGGAAACGGGATGCGACATTTCGTTTGCTTGGTGGTGTGACGGGTGAGTGTGCTGGCGTGGAGTTGTTGGGGTCGCGTGGTGGTGGGTTGTTTGCTTGGTCGATATAGGACTGGAATTCTTCTATGGATCAAAGAACGGGATAGATTCCTGGAGTTCATGATGCCTCATAGGTATGTATGTCTTGATGGGAGCTGAATGTATCGCAAAGACTACCTACCTAGGTAGGTAGAGAGTCCTGGAGACAGTGGTTGGCAGATGATATGTGTAAAATTTACCCCTACGCTCATTTGTATAATCCAAACCCTCATATCTTTTACAACACGCAAATCAACTAATTTGTCGTAGTAGTAGTTCTTTTGTTTACATCCGCCTGTTGGTGTTCGGGCAGGGCAGCGAGCTCGGTGCTGGAGTCAAGAAGGTCCGACGAACACGGAACTCGGACGTCACCCATATCCGGACTCACTCAACGACCGTTTGTTTCAAGACTTTCCTTTTGCATATACCCCACAGCTGCAATAACGGAACTACATCATGTCAGCCTCGGACGACCTCACCAATCTTGCCACCCCGCCAGCGTGCATTGCAGACTTTTGTCTGATCCCCCTGGGCACCCCCACAGCATCGGTGTCCAAGGAAGTCGCGGAAGTGCAGCGGCTCCTCAAGAAAAGCGGCTTGGACTATTCGATGCATTCCGCGGGGACAACAGTTGGTATGTGCCTGCACACACCCCACCTTCTGTATTCTGTACGCTCTCGCGTGCGAGCCAACCCTCTTCTCGGCCGGTATGCGGGCCTGGTGGCTTGGAAGGTGGAGGGGTCTATGGAAGATTCTTGAATGTGCATGCTAATTATGGTTAGAGGGCTCGTGGGACGACGTTATGCGGGTCATAGGGCAATGCCATGCGATGCTGCATCAGAATGGGATTGTGAGGATTCAGAGCGATATTCGTGTGGGGAGCAGGACCGACAAAAAGCAAGGATTCAAGGACAAGGTGGACGCTGTGGAGAAGCTGCTCAAGGAGGATCAAGGCGCAGCGTTGTAATGGGCCGAGTATCAGGATGCGCGTGACTGAAGGAATGTGTGTGTTGTCTCAGTTCCAAGGTCGCCAGGTCATCCACGTGTACCAACCACCTGCGATAACGACGGATGCATGAAAACAAATTTCACGACTACAGATGATGTACCCGCGCAAGGCAGATCTGCCTGCCAAAGCTCGGATGGTGATTCAAACAATCGGCCGCTGCTATAATTGGGCAATTTCCTACTCGACGGCGTGGAGCTGCTGGGATAGCTGGGCTATAGCGAAGATGGGGAAATTAGTACCTGACAGGCCAAACGGCAGCGATGGAAGCATATTGTGTTGACATGTGGCTAGACGTAGGGCTTTTTGAAACTTGTCGATCAAGGTGGCAGTGGTGGCAGCGAATCACTCGCAGCGGGATGCTAGTCTGTAACGTAGACGTGCATGCAACGGCTCCAGGCTCTTCACCGCCAGTCGCGATGTTCAGGTAGACTAAACCGGATGCGAGGGGCGGGTGCTGTCTGCGCACGGCCGACGAGCGGTTGTGTAAAAAGTTGGCGGCATCATCCTTGACGTCGGTACCTTTCACCCGGAAAATCCCCTCGAGTGCCGCATGTGCTCCCACGCTCTCTCCACCACGACACGCCCATCTATACCTGCCCACACCGCCCGCAATATTCACTGCCCGCCCGTCACCCCGCCCGTCCCGTCCGAAATACGCCCACCCCCCAGAATTGGCCTCGTGTGATCGCATGGCGAATGCACGCGACAGCAGCATCATCTGCCAATCCCCAGCACCCGCGCGGTAACCACGTCGACGCTCCACGCATCAACCACCCACCATGGCCTTCAACTTCAACTGGTCGCCGCTGATAGCCGACACGTCGAGGGCGCGCGACATGCTGACGACGGCCCTCAACAAGTCGCCCAAGCCGCCGATTATCGTCGACGACATCATCGTCACCGAGCTCAATCTCGGCACCACCCCGCCCGAGCTCGAGATACTGGAGATTGGAGACTTGGCTGAGGACCGGTTCAGGGGCATCTTCAAGATGTCGTATGCGGGCGACGCGTTTCTGACGCTCAAAACAAAAGTCCAGGCAAATCCGCTCAAGACGTATCTCTCCAACAAGCCAGACTTTGCGTCACCGCAGCCGCTGGCAGCGTCATCGGGCTTGACTATACCGTTGCAAATTACACTGTCTAATATCCGACTGTCTGGTTTCGTCATCTTGGTCTTCTCCAAACAAAAGGGCTTGACGCTGGTCTTCAGGAACGACCCTCTGGATTCGCTCAAGGTCTCGTCGACGTTTGACTCCATCCCCTTTGTGCGCGACTACCTGCAAAAGGAGATCGAGGGCCAATTGCGTGTCTTGTTCATGGAAGATTTGCCAGCTATCATTCACAGGTTGTCACTCCGCATGCTGTCGCCCGAGTACCAGGAAATCGAAACAGAAGAGCGGCTAGAGAGCGCCAACGATACCACCGCAGCCATCGATCCCCTCGCATCGCCACCACAAGACGCTGTCGATGCCTTCGGCAACCCACTAGACGAAGCCCAGATCTCGGCCTTGTCGCTCGACTCTGGCGAGATACACGCCTCCTTCTCCCAGAAGAACATCCTCCGCCTAGCCGCCCTCTCCGAATCGCAACGAACCCTTTCCCTCTTCACACCCGGCATTCGCGATGCCGTCTTCCGAGCATGGGCAGGTCACCCAGACAGGCCCGAGTCTGGTGCTGCGACGCCCGCACTCACACAAGGCAGTTTGTCAAGGATACAGTCGACGTTTGGCAGTCTCAAGTCTGGCGCTTCGTCAGTCGCGTCTGGCAGCACGGGCAACGAGACGCTGAGCTCGCGACCCACCATGGCATCGGCGTACTCGACATTGGCAGGGCTCAGTCTTGGCTCAAGTCGCTCTCGCACTGGCGGCATGCGGAAGCGGAAGAAGCGTGTTGTTGATCTACGTAAAAAGGACGGCGTCGACTCTGGCGTCTCTACAGGCGCCAACACACCGTTGCCCAGCGCATACGCTTCCGAGACATCGAGCGTCATTCCAGAGGAAAGAGAAGCAGAGGAGGAACTCGCTACCCCACCAACGAGCCCCGCACAACCTGGCATGCGCTTTGAGAGTAGACGTGGCAGTCTGGACATCGGTACGCCAAAACGGATACCCGAAGAACCTCCTGCTTTTGGCCCTCTTCTCGCCCCTGCGCCAGTCCTCTCAGAGTCATCGAAGCCTGGCAAATCGAAGCAAAAGACCCCACCAGCCGCTCACCTCGAAGACCCATTCATATCCCACACCTCTTCCAGACGTCCGCCGCTGTCGCGCAACAAGCTACGCCAAGCACAGCAATCCACCTCGCCGCTCCTCCGCTCCCTGTCTTTTGACAAAGTCTCATCGCTCTCAGCCCTCTGCTCGCCGCCGCGTACTTCTTCCCCACCGAACGCTGACGTCATGGCCAGCTCCGGCGGCATCCTCGAACAAGCATGGATGACGAAGATGGCGCAGGAGATTGCTCGCAAGGTCCAAGAAGAAAAGGACCGATCGTCTCGGCGACCATCACACACCCGGACAAAGACAGCACCCACAGGAGGCTTTTGGCAGAGCGACGATGAGATCGAAGCACCGCCCGCTTACGTTGCGTAAGCAATGATGAAGTTATGAGCCATGAAGATTTTCACGACGTACCGTCTTCGTACATATTAGTTCTTGCATGTTATTTTTGTCCATCACTTGTTGTTTCTTTTGTCCATTAAACTGCTTGTTAGCATTGGCGTATCAGGATTGGGAAAAGCTCGTTGCCGTTGGATCAACTTGAGTATATAACTAGGGGGGTTAGTGGGGCTCTAAACATAATGAGCGGTGCATAGAAGAGCCATGGAGAACGAAGGGGCAAGCGCGATATAGTGTCGTCGCTTTTACATATCGACTACTAATCTCATTACCGAAGGCGATGTGAGCATCGCTAAGAAGAGTATATATCAAATCACTCTCATCTTCACAACAGCATATTCGGTGTACTTGACATCTTTTCTCATTACTCTATTTCACAACCATCAAGGTCCTGGCACAGGGATAGCACCAATCTGCACCATC